GAGAGAGAGAAAGAGAGAGAGAGAGAGAGAGAGAGAGAGAGAGAGAGAGAGAGAGAGAGAGAGAGAGAGAGAGAGACAGTCTTACCTCGACTTCGAGCGTCCCGTGGTTGTTGTCTTGACGTGGTCGGCCGACGCAGCGCTCCCTCGATGCGTCTTCATCGACTTAGTGGCGCCATCGAGTCTGTGTTCGCTGTTCAGGCGCGCCGTCACACCGTGCGAGTCATGCGTCACCCACATGGGCACCTTCTCCTCGTCGGCCGCACCGCACGTCTCGTGCGAACGCACGCTGGCGCTGAAGCTCGTCAGCGAGTCGGCAGGTCGACCGTCGTCTGCCGTCGGCGGCACGCTGTCCTCGTTGACGAGAGGTTTGTGGTTCGGTAGCGAGTTGCTAGTCTCGGTCATGGTCGCCGCGGCAGGCGCGCGAAACTGCGCTTCAACGCGGGGGGTTACGTACTACGTAGCCTCTTCCGTAATGTAGCGGCCGCCCGATGTGAGCGAATGCTTTTAAAGTCACGGCGAGAGACGCTGGAGATCGGAAGGCCTGATAAGCGAGGAGCAACACTTATCCCTGTAGGAAGCGAGTGCGGATGAAGAGCGACCGGGAGAAATTCGAGCGCGCTGTTAGCACGCTGGTGAAGAAGTAGATCGAAGAGGCGCAGCGACGCCGAGGCGCTACCTTCCTCAGCCTTCCGTCGTCGTCGGAGGAGCAGATGTAAACAAATCGCGGCTGACGTCCCTGCTCATAGAGACGCGAGCCTGTCAATAATTTCATACATATCACTGGCGCCGCGCATAATTTTCACTGCGCACTCTATCTCGCGCGCGCGCTCTCCCTCTCACGCTCTGTCTCGCGCTCTTTTTCGCTCTCGCCTGCAATCTCGCGCTCTCTCTCTCTCTCTCCCTCACGCACGCGCGCATGCACGCAGGCAAAACTACACACCTCCTCTCTCTCGTAGTCTATCTCTCGTTATCTCTCTCTTGTCCGCGCGCTCGTGATATTGCTCTTTTGCGCATTCTCTCCCTCTCTCGCTTCTCATTTCAATTCTCGTCTTCGTTCTCTCTTCATGTTTCTCACTACTTCCCTTCCCTCCTTTCCTTTCTGTCTCCCTTCCTTCCTCTCCGCCCTCCCTTCCTCCCTTCCTCCCTTCCTCTGTTTCTTCTGCGTCCTTTTCTCTTACCCTACCTTCCTTCTATCCCGCTCCTTCCTTCTTCACTTATTCCCTTCCTCTCCCTTCTCGCCTTCCTTCCCCTTTATACATTCTTCATTTCCTCTTCCCATTCCCCTGCCTTCCTCCCTCCCCCTCCTCACTTCCTTCCGCTCCATTTTTCTCTCACCCCAACACTCTATATTTCCCACGCGCTCTATTTTGTTCGCTAATCCACGCGAGTAAACCGACGGAGCACAACATGTAACAGTCCGTACATATCCACGCAGGTCTTTGCCCTCGATGCAAGCAGCTAGAGTATTGACTTGATAACGTAGTGGAATACTACTGCTCTCGATCACGCGTCCAAACAGGCAGGTCTAAAAAATCTCGCAAGGCAATCGACGCGTGTGACGCCATCTGTCGGTCTCATTGCGACATATACGCGGCCGGTGGTGAGGTATCGTGGCGCAATAGCGATGGTGGCTATATATGAGTTGGATCCCTGCCAGCTGTAGACGCGCGGCGCTATCAGGTGGTTCTAATCTTGCGACGAGGTTCTTATGGCACTGTGTCGGTGAGCAGTGGCCGCACCATCCCTCACTCCAACGTTTGCTAAAGCTGGGTTCACACTACCGACTTTATGCCGTCAAATTGGCGAATTGGACCAATTTCGCAATTATACAACCGACGAACGGGAGTGTGACCGTATAACTTGCGCGAGCAACTGCATGGTTAATAGCAACTAGTTGGGAGGTTAAAGCATGTTCTATTTTCGCTAACTCTCTGTTGCCGAATTTCCGCGAAATTGGTCCAATTCACCAATTCGACCGCATAAAGTCGGTAGTGTAAACCCAACTTAATTAAGAACGAACACGCACGGATAGTGCACCGCGACTACTGTCGGCACCACCGTCCAGGACGAGAGAATAGCTATCGGCTGTAACGCGCGCTCAAATCGAAAGGCGTGCACGTGTGTGCGCGGGTATGCATGTCGCTGCTTCATCAGCGGCACGGACAGGGGAGAGCGAGCGAGAAATAATTAAAGCCCGGGAAAGCGAGGGAGAGAGTGCGAGAGAGAGAGCGAGGGCGAGCGAGAGGGAGAGCGCGAAAAAAAGAGATAGAGAGAGAGCGAGAGAGAGAGAGAGAGAGAGAGAGAGAGAGAGAGAAAGAGAGCGCGCGAGCGAGCGAGTGAGAGACCGAGGGAGAGCAAGAGGGAGAGCGAGAAAAGAGAGAGAGAGAGAGAGAGAGAGAGAGAGAGAGAGAGAGAGAGAGAGAGAGAGGGAGAGAACGAGAGAGAAAGAGAGCGAGTGAGAGCGAGAGCGAGTGATAAAGAGCGAGAAAGAACGAGAGAGAGAGAGAGAGAGAGGGGGAGAGCGAGAGAGCGAGAAAGATATATATATATATAATATATATATATATCAGGAGTAGATATATTATAGCGTGCGTGCGTACTCGCGCGCGCGCGAGAGAGTCGTAATCATAATCATCAGAGGCGACCGGGCTCGCGCGCGAAGTCCTAGATTGTAATAGTCGTAAACTGGTCGGTCCAATATTCACAGTTGCCGTCAGACGGCGAGGTAGAGCAGAGTATGTTGTACGATTTGTTAAATTAGTCAAGCCATATGTAGGTTTGCAAACAAACCACAAAATACTTCACGAACCACATATTACAAGTCATAATTACCATACGGAATGCGCAAACAACAGGTAATTTCTCAAAACATTCTTTATTTTCACAAAAACATGTAGATCAGATCCTCCTACCAAAACATGTAGTTTGACATCGAACTATACTTGTTGCGTACAATCTATACTATAGATGTTGTGCGTAAAGATGTCGGCGCAGGAATATAGTTGGGGCACACAAATATAGTTTTCTGAAACTTATGGAGTGCTACCGTAGATTAAGAATATCTTAGTTTAACTAAAGTTAAGTTAAACTTTAACTTGGTTTTTTAGAAGTAACTGAGTTATTCTTAGTCTATGGTAGGCCTACTATCGCCTTATCTTGGCTCCGTTTCCGCTTTTACTTCCGTTTGGTGCGAACTTCAGCTTGAACCTACAGTGTTAGACCTGCTTTTTTATTGAAACCACGAATTCCATGTATATCATGAACGTATATATACAAAATATGGATTCTGTACACTGTTTAGATGCGAACGGATTGAGTATTTGTACATTCTATACAGATGTGCCTATACTACTACAATAAACAACGATCGCCGACTACTATGAATGACTATACTAATATAGCTATTGCTATTCTAAGCAAAACTTTCCATGAAATATTTCTCATTTTATTTCTCAAATTGTTCACTGTCAAATTTTTAAGACTGTACCCCCAGATTAACCAAACTCACGACATGGGGGTGTAAACGCTACTATGACCAGTGCATGGTGCAAAGCCACGTGCGTGGGGCGTTACGTTGTGGAAATTTTGCCGTTAACTATATTGACTGTGTAATCGTACCGTGTAATGGCACTGGCAGCAAGATCAAGCCCGCACGTACAGCACACGCGCGGCGCCATTGACTATATATATACAACTATATGTATATATATATAGTCAATGGCGCCGCGCGTGTGCTGTACGTGCGGGCTTGATCTTGCTGCCAGTGTGTAATGGTATCTTCATTTGTCTGGTGGGCCCCGCCCCCTCTAGCTGCAGCTCCGCAAGTGTCTTGTCATACCGACCCATACGTATATATTATTGATTTCCGTTGTCAGCGTCTCACAACTTTCGTATTAGTCGTGGACTTGTTGTTTTATTTACACTTAGTATCATCGAACACCTGGTTGGTGGTTGTTGTTCTCACTCGATCCTTGTGACTTGTCAATCGCAGATTAATGATAAGTGCAATTTATACTTTCAGCACGGCAGGTATAGTAACTATAACTACCACATGCAAGGTTTGAACAAGACAGCTTTTGTGTTCAGTCTATCTGATAAAAATATATTTATGCGCAAAATTCTCGCACAGAACACTTGTTTGATTAGCTGGATCCTTCACATACTGATTGCTTACATTGACGGATATAGGGGAAAGTTGCTTTAATATTAAAGAATCACGGTGTTCTATTCAAACCACGGAGAAAATGAATACGCGCAACTTTCTTAAAATTATTCAGATCTGCATTGCTAAATGAATGAATTAATCAATTATTATATTATTGATGTTTCATCTTTTCATACCGTAGCAAATGTCATCTACACTAACATAGTTCAGCGGGATGTATGAACGAAAACAATCAATAATAGGAGCAAAATGTTTTCAATGCTTGGGCGCCGTTTATATACACTTTATTATACGTTTCCATTGGTGATTATATATGAATTAAAAACAGGTAAGCTTAAACAAAATGCTTATAAGCAGCGCCCCATATATATATATACCAACTTTCTTCAACCTATAAGGTAAGGTATGTATATCAAGTAGTTGTGTATACAAACTCTCCGCTGTAACTACATAGCATATGCTGCGCCTGTTAACAATATCAACCATTCCATCATTTAAATAGCTTTCACCTTGTATTGTGTTAAATTGTATTAAAAGAATATGACTACACATGTACTTACAACACGGCAAGCCGAGTTGATCGACTTGCCGTTTCACAACTTCTGAACTCTTACAATGCTATAAGGCTATGTTATCACAGGCATGCCACTTTTACAAGTCAATCTCTTTATCGTATAAACACATGTAGTTATACATAAGTAACATATTAACATCGCAACTAATAGACATTTCATTAGTTTATAACTGTTGTGAGTGCGTGAGAGAATAATGTTCACAGTTATAACAAGAATCACCATCTATACAGCACAGAGAATCCTATACAACTATTGCAAACTGAATCACGTTAAGTGGCTGGAGAAGTCTTACGATGACTCTTCACAGACTCGGGAGACTAAAATAACTATGACAATATGATATAAACCTATCTAAACGTCTGTACAGGAAAAGCTACAACATTCTTACGAAAATGAACAAGTTACACAATTCGCAAACGATATGTATGTACAATATTTTGTCTCGGCATGCGTGGTAGACTTTACAAGTCGACCGAATTTTTGGCATTGACGTGCGAAGACAGGAGTATTATTGCTACTTGAGATATTTTTTTGGGAAGACAGTTATCATTAATGCTATATATATATATCTAATAACAGCTTGTGGTTAAAATGGCACTAATCTGTCTAATGACATGAAATATTCTAATGTGTAATTCGTGTGCAAACCTAACAGTTTCATTTTATTGTTATAATGCTACTAGTGGCTTACTCACTGGCTGTCCTCCTGTAAAGGAGTATCTCACAAAATCCTATCATTAGAATCAGGAGAGTGGACGAACATCAATGATTCCCCTTTACGATGAACGTTTGCCATGGGAGTGGCACATGCAGTGGCCGTTGCGTACCCAAGGCAACTACTGCGCATTAACTAATCGCCGATTCACAAGTGCAGAGTTTTCTGAGATTACAATAAATTATCATTCTAAGGAGCAGCGCGAACGATTAAATATGCAAATAATGCCGTAGTCAATTTTACATAGAAAGGCTTTTATATCTAGGATTTTATGCTATATGGCAGATAACAACAACGTGCGGAGTGCACAGATGTTCACGGTAACTGCAAAATACAGAAATATTCACTCGCCGGTGAAACAATCACAGGTGTACATTTGGGCAAGAACACTCATAACCTTACACCCAAAAATATTTACAGGGAGAAACATCATATTGATCTGCATGTTTAAAAAATATTCTAATACGGGAAAAACACGATTGCAGTAGTAAAAGGACAATGAACGTTTTGAATTAGGAATTGATATCTTTTACAACCAACTACATATATATATATATTACACACACAGATCATAGTCAGCCACTCTGCTACACAACTCGCCATAAATGCATGAGCTAGGTGAATAAATGTAAATGGCAGTCGTGGCCCATAGTCCTGTGGATGGTTATTTTAATGACAGAATCTGAAAGCCTATTTTGCTACCCTGTTTTAGACTGTAAATCATCATATAAGTGTAGGTATCTTGGCACATACCCCATAGTATAGTTGATAGCAAGTATTGCTATGCAATATTTAGAACACGCATATACATTCCTAGTATATAATACACATGCACCACACAAATTCCAGCATTTGGGGTGATTTGGTAGTGAGGAAAGATGACTGGTTACCTACAATGTAGACAAGCCTTGTTCCTATATGGATTAAATTAATTACAGAAAAGTAGTAAGTAGTAGTAAGTACCTGATGAAGTAATTATTGAAATAAATGACCATGACAGCATAGCATAACATCAGTAGCACAAAGAATGCTAACAAAATCAAATTCTTACATTTGTAAACTTGGTTCGTCACTAGCCCAGTTCAAACCTAAAGCTGCATGCGTGAAAGATGGGAAGTGGCTAATGCTTATAGACACTTTAACATTTCCCTTTAGTGGCATCTATAATAAGAGTTAAAACACCACTGTAGAATGAAGACCTCTCTCTGTTAATAAAGTACACTTGGTATTTCTCTTAAGTGGAAATAACATTCCTAGACCCGTCTATGAAGGACACTCTCTGAGTTTCCCTTGAGCGACTCTATGTACAGGCCTGACCGTATTTCAACAGCGGGTCTAGCGATGTTTGATCATCAAACACAGTGTTGCACCTAGATCTTTAGTAACTTCACTTCTTTGATGATAACCATGTCCGTGTCATCATTGCCAAGTGAAGTATTCATCTCTCCCTTCCCCTTCTGCCGGTGTCTCTCTTCCTGTTTCTTCTTCTTCTCCATGCGTGCCTGTTCCTTTCTTTGTTTGCTGGTCAAAGCCTGGAGAGAATGAAAGCCTCACGTGAGGCACACCAGATGAGTAAAATCAGAGCATGAGCACGTGGCGCCACCTACAGTTTCATTATTTCCACTACTCTCTCCAAGCCTTGAAGCCGATTGACGAAATTTACATGACAATTGACATATCCGTTTGTGTGAGATAAACCACACACACTTGCATGTTGTCGCTAGATCGGTGAAGCTAGACCAGTTTATATGTCAATTTTTTACTTTGCAACGCTACATTTCCGAGCAAAAAATCAAGAATTTCACAACTTCTCATCACAACAGTGATACAGCTGCTTGCCAATCACTGTGTGCAGATGAATCAATTAATTTCACGTCACTTCAGACCAGCAACGACGACCATGCTGTTAGACCTACACACACACACACACAACACGCACGCACGCACGCACGCACGCACGCACGCACGCACACACACACACACACACACCACCTTCCGACATTTCAATGCTACAGCTCTAACGGAATACGTGACCACTGACCTTGACCTTGGGTTTGGCGCCACTCGCACGACTGGAGTGTGATCCGTATCCGGAGCTCACTCTACTCGTGCTGTCTGTCTCACACGGACTCAGCGTCCTGGACGGACTGTCATGTGACCAGATGCCACTGTCATTCGTCTGTACAGAAGCTACAGAAGCTGAAATCGAAACGATAAGAACTGCTTGACAAAGTTTTGTCGTGAGCCTAAAAAACTGTTAACTATAAACTGCCAATTTTATTGATACTAATTTTTGCGAGATGGATTTCATCGTGTTAGATTTCTTTGCCTTTCTTTCACTATTTTCTTCACGTTTTTACTTTTTTGTAGAATCGCAGTACCATAGCATTCCTTCCACGATTAACCTCACTCATCTTATCGTTACTTAAATGAAACATAATTTGCCAAAACCCTCTATGGAGGTTATGCCGAAATATTTCTCACCGCTCTCGCTAGATGGCGACACAGGACTCGATGCATCGCTGGACCGGTTCATTCCTAGGTCACTGGTCGGCGATGGCAGTGCGTCCTGGCAGGGTAGTGGTGAAGGTCGCGGTGCTGATGCTGAAGGTCGCGTTGAAGGTGACGTTGGCGTGGAGGCGGGTGCGAGCTCCTTTAGCTGCTCGATGTGAGAGATCGTCATGTCGACATCAAACTCCATATCCACCAACAGACTCTCCACATTGGCCTGGTTCTACAATGCAGCCGAGTATGATAATTACATACCAAGCAAATGATTCAGCTCTTGAAATGAGAGCCTGGAGCTTGGAACAAGCAATAAGAACAAAGAAATACTCGTTAGGAAATCTCTCTCGTAGGTTTTTTTTCGGTCTTTGAACAGTAATCAACTTAAAACGGCATTCCTCTGATGAAAAGCTGCCATATATGATCTCGCACGCACAACGATTTCTTGATGACCCGATAAAAATTGCTGCAAACTGACACGCGTTTACGACAAAAGAGCCTTTTTAATTCACAAACATAGCTCGCAAAACGTAAACAAACTGCCATGCCCATTCCTAATTAAGTAATTAATTATGCACTAGAGCGCGAGATGGATGCTCACCTCGAAGCCCGTCTCTGCCATGATGTAGCGAGCGATGTCTGACACTCCTCGCACTGCCTTTGCCACGCCATGCTCATCCGGGAATATCGTGTGTCCATCCGGTGTCGTGTAACTCAGCGACGCGTCACCGGGTGGCAGCACCGTGCCGTGCTGGGGGTAGGGGACAGCGGGGTGGTAGCTGCCGCACGGAGGATCGGAGTCTCTCACCTCCTCGTTTGCCTCTCTACTGACTTTCTCTGAGGATTTGCTATGGCGTTCCTTTTCCCGCAGCCTGGGTGGTTCGGCAGTCTGTAACCACACAGCAATGCATGGCAGTGCTGGCGAAACTATATTTCGGACTATTGTCGCGTAGGAAGTGCACCGCTTTTGACCTGCCTATTCAACAACACATGATGTGTAACGGTGACTTAAAATGGGTTCTTTGACACAGACTTAAACATTTGGATTATTAATGTAATCAAAAAAACGTTGATGTCAAAGATGGTGTGGTGAGCAGAAGTTGTCTTAAAACATTACACGTACACTGGATTTCTATTCTAAAAGAAAAATTGGAAAAATGGCCAACCCTAATAATTATGATGACACTATGAAGATCTACGCAACCAAATTATGGTAATTAAAAATTAAATATGTTAAGCATGAATTAATGTAAATGTCACCACTTTGTTGTAACAAAACCAACCATTAGGCGAATGTTCGCTGGCGCTTCTGACCGGTCTCCAATCCTGCGAACACTTGAGTAGTGGTCACCATTGTGGTAGGAGATGTGCAGCTCACGACATCCGGATTTCTCACTGCCATGGATCTGCATTGCAAAACAGCACTAGTAAATTGATAGCTATTAAAATGAACCTATATACATATAAATATACATATACCTAAGTTACCGCAACTAGTGGGGCATTATAAATTAAGGGTGACTGCAATTTTCTTCCATAAATCATTCCCCAAAGAGATTATTTCCCTGATTAGAGGATCTGCAGCCCACAGTGCATGGCCCCCTCTGGTGCCACCCCTAGTACACTGGAGCTGCTACACCTGCACCCTACAAACACTTCATACCCTCACCTTCCACAGTGGTAGGTTCAGCTGATGGATAACTACGTGTAGGCCATGGTTCCTGGCAAATCCCACGATGACATCGTTCCCGGCATATGTACCTGGCTTGCGTAGATTCGACACTGCACAAGAGGGAGCGGTGAAGAAATCAATTAAGTAATCGACTTAGCTTCCTGGAGTGATTGACATATGCGCAGCTCTAGCCAATCAGCAAATTATATGACGTTCTAAAAGACAATGCTTGTCAAGGAAGTGCAGCAAAGTCGACATTTTAATAAGCTTGCATGGAAAGCATCTATAATCTGTCCTACCTAACAACAATATCCAAGCGTTTTTATCTTGCTCAGATGGATAGGTATATTATTTCTAGTGCTAGAAATTACAATTACAAGTATCTACTAACTGCTTTAGTATTCTGCTGTAGCACATAACCAGAACCTAGGCACCATAATTTGGTCTAGACTGCGCTGGCTGCAGCTGCACACTTACCGTATCGCTCAAACGGCTCCTCGATAAAAGGTTCAAAGTCCTTGCGATGTGCCCCGATGTAATCAACTGTCTCCAGTCTATGTTTCATGTGGTGGCGGTGATGACCTTCTAGTTGGTCGGCGAGTGAGCGAAACAGGCAGTTCCTGCAGCAAAAAAACCACAGACGTCAAGGTTACTGATGACGCCGCATCTATGCAGACGAGTTGCCGTTACCGAGTTAGACAGAGGCTTCAGCTCCTTATGCACAAGCAGGGCCAAGTGTCTGTTAGCTCTATAGCACTATACCGATCTATCACTTTGTATTATAGAATGTAGATTGTATTCAGAGTGACAGAGTCTATCTGTAATACTGATAGTATAATAATAAAGATGATAATATAGCTGCATGAATTTCGGTATTGTTTGTTGTAAGAGCATATATATGCGACCCAATGAGATCAGACATTATACTTTTATTGCAGTTATGTGACAGAGATGAACAAGTCCATGACAACAATAGATCATAGCCGCAACTACTGTGCATTCGTTATTCCACGTAATAATTTCCTTCGGAGTTGGCAGCCGTGCTACAGACGTCGTTAAGTGTCCTGGCTGACAACCGCGGGGTGAGCAGTTGAGAAGAAAACACTAGAATTCTAAATGCACAGTCGGCGAACAGGTTGAACGTACGTGCGCTTGTTTTGTTCGCGAGCACCTGTAATAGTGGTGGGTCTGGAGCAACGCCAATATCTCGTCTGTGATTACAGTCAGAAAACTAAGCAAGGCCAAACAAACCAGTAGCGTATCACCCGCAGCTTAAAACACAGGGGCAATTTAAAATAATACTATTGAGATATATGCAAACTGCAGGAATTTGCAAAGGATCAAGCAGCATGCAGCCAGCCGACACACCAAAACAACTTTCCACCTATTTTTTAATTGGAAAAACATCACAGCTACATATCAGCCACAAGGAAAGCTATAAATGGCTACTACCTCCAAGAACTATGCTTCTATGCTCTGCGTATAGCAAAGAACTATATGTCTTTTCTACAGGATGCAAATCCCCTGCTATACCACGTGTGGACTCGACAAGCTTATCAGTTGATGCCATTGAACTACTAAGCTGGCAATAGTGATGTATTCAGTTTCAACTTATGGTAGTCTTCATCAAGTTCTTCGAATTAACTGTGTGAAACTGGAAAACTGCAATTCTTACAGAGATTCTATATAGCAGAACATACGCTGACTGGTTACTATTAATACTTCATCCCCCCTTTGAAAGTTTTTTTCTTGATCAGCAATATCGATATATATATAGTAATTAATGGATCAGTACTTTCAGTAATAGCAACACTATTGCAATACCCCAATTAGTGTCCCCTATACTCATTTGACGCTCTGTGCCCCTTAGTTGAGCTCAAGGGGTCGTTGTCGTAACAGGTACTACAGATATGTACCCGAGGTACATATATGTATACACAAAGTGTACCAGACTTGTACTACAGAAGTGTACCCTAACCCTAACACTAACCCTAACACTAACCCTAACCCTAACTCTAACTCTAACCCTAACCCTAACCCTAACCCTAAACATACCTCATATAAAAATATAAACATAACACTAAACAACCTAAAACTACCTCGGGTACATATCTGTAGTACCTGTTACGACAACGACCCTTCGTGCCTTATACCCCCGTCACACCGGGGTGGTGTCCTTACTGCGCTTCTACGGCGACGGAAAATGGGCACAGAGCGCGCCAAGGTCGCCATAAGCGCGGTATAAGCGTGGTGGAAACGCCAGACATCGCGCTGTGGTCGCCATGGTCGCCAATGATCGCCAATGATCGCCAATGATCGCCGAGA